CCTAAAGACGGACTGACCGCAGCTTCAAAGTCCATAAAATCTTGCGGACTTTTCAAGTCGGAATTACCGATATCTTCTTCCTCATTATTGTCCGTTCTCGACAAATACGGACTCAATTGCTGTTCATAAGAAAGACTTAGCGCACTGGAGAGTCCACTGTCCGACGAGGAGGATGCGACTGTTTCCATATCCTTCCCAATCAAATTGAAACCAAGTGGATCCTCCTCCATCTTCAAGATCGAGGCAAACAGGTCATCATCGGAATTCATGGGGCATTCTTCTGTCTGAAATATTACATAGACATCATTTGTGCCTAATATGTAATCTTTCAATAATAGATAATTTTATATATACTATATTAGCATAAAATTTACGCATAAATTCGACAAGTCATTAAACCGTTAAATCAGCGTACGTCTTTTTTACGTGTCATTAATATACGCTTAAGATAAATCAGGAAAGGAGGAAAATAAATAACAGAAACCTTGGCTTACGTAATCAATACAACATGTTCCATTTCGTTTACAGAATTTTCGTATTCTCTTTAAATACTGGTAAGAATGGGACACGAGAGATATCGGGCTTATCATATGTATATTTTTCAGAGAAGCAAAATGGTTCTCTTCTTATCAAATCTCAATACAATAAAGGTATTATCTGATGTATACATATACATATAAATAATGACAAATAAACTGCTCAAATAATTTCACTATTGATTTTATTAATTGTACGCGCGTGAAATGTAAAAATATCCTTGTTTTACAAATTTGTAATTTTACAAAGCGACTTTCTTATCGATCGAATGCTGCACAAATTATTTCGTAATTAAAGAAGAACCTTTATCCTTATCTAAAAGATACACAGATTTTATTATCAACCTCTTTTAATTGTACATCTTGAAAGCAATAAAATTTATAAAAATTTTTATTGCTCTTTGAAGTTGAAAGCTGTAAAATATATTTATATTTTAAATTATTAATTATATTTTAAAAACTACGCAAGTAATGTAAAGTTAATAATAATAATATATAATTATAGAAAAAAAAAGAAAGAATTATAAATTATTGTACTTTAATACATCGTATTTGTGCGTGAAGAATTAAGACTTTACGGTTGCGAAGAATTCCGTAACATAACGGTACCCTTTTAAAGGTCATTCGCCGCGTGAAGACCGGGTTCTCAATTTCTGGTTCGACCATATTCGAAAAGAAACGGAAAGAAATCTTTCTCATTAATCAATCTTGTGCATATAGTAACACTATCGCGGCGTTAAAAAAGCTTGAAAATTAGTTGCGAACAGATTATTTACGAGTTTTTTTTTTTTTACGAATAGGAAGCGACTATGCATAAAGGAAAAAAATTAATAAAAAAAGGAGCTTGTGAGGACTGTAAAAAAAATATCGAATAATGAAAATTATTCATACAGATAATGACATTCGATCTGTATACTGCGTTTCAGGTGATGCATCTGCCACGTGCTGATGCGTTTATAATTATGTTTGCATCATACGTGATGAACAAGAAAAATTTATTTTTAATCTTCGGTTGATTTAATTGCCGGTCGAGGAATGAAATAGAGCGTATATTACTTATTTTAGCGACTTGGAACTGAGGTTATATGCGAAACCACGTGGATAGCCGGCGCACCATATGTTATAAACATCACTGGATAAAACCGTCTTAGAAAGAGAAATTATCCGTATCTGCAATATTATTTGTTGAACAATTCTTGACAAGAGACTCTACAATTTGGTTTTTAAAAGATTTTCACATTAATGTTATTATGCTCCGAGTGGATATTGAGTAATTTTAGATGACAAGGTTTGACGATAGTGTAAAAAGGCTTTCAGACTTATAATTCCTGACAGAAATTTATTTATAACTTTACATAAACTGTATACAATGAAAGGAAAACTATTTAAAAAATTAAGACACATGTACATATATAAAATATATATATAATTATAATGTTCAGTATTGACACACACACACACACAAAATTGAGAAAAATTATATTTTTAATTCTGATAAAAATTATAGATTACTTATAATGAACTCAACTATAATACAAAAATGAAAATAATGTAAATTAACGACTATTAATCTAAATAAATAAATATAGGGATTGTATGCAAGTATAGAGCATAAAAGCACATGGCATGTATACCATATGTTAACATGAATTAAAATTTTATCCAAGTTAAAATTTATCGATAAAATACATATACATGCAATTTTTGATAATACAATCACCATTGCAAAGATCATTAAAGTTACGTTTTAAGCAGTTACTAATTATTATTGAAGTAATTAATGCTAAAACTCAGTCATTACAATTATTTGTTTTGACAGACATATGTGTTATATATGTTTAATAAAAAAAAATTTAAACATGATTTTTACTCGACAAATTTGTTACAGAATTTTTTCGATACAGTTTCTACTGTTTCTATAATTATATAGCCATATTGTGTGTACGCTCTGCTTTAGTTTTGTTGAAAATATATAAGATCTCTCATATTCGCAGCTAATTTTTCAATTATTAAAAAAAACCTTGAATGAACTAAATATAAAACGTGATGAAATATATCGCCATAGGATTTTTTAATAACTTCTTTAGATGATGGTTAGAGTCCTCTATGAAATACAAAATTGTTGGCACCGTTTCATCGAGATAAAATTTGCGATATAAGCAGATAATTTGATTATTGACTTATAAATAAATCTCACAACAATAAATAAATAACAATTTGTAATACCTTTTCCATTTCCATTTGGTGTATATTATCTAATCGAGAATTGCAAGAATTTAAAATAATATTGCGACTGTCTTTATACTATACTTTATATACAGTATACTGTAATTACTCTAATACTATATATTGAGTTTAATGTTATAAATTTGTAATGTATATTATAATACTTAATAGATTATTACCTAATTATTAAGCAAATAAATTTCTAAACTAAACATATGTTTTCCTTCAGCATTACGAGAGAAGATATGGTTAAGTCTGTTTTGAATGAAGATTAAAAATAAGCTGTCAAACAATGAGCCACTCATGACATAGCAAGTCCATTAGAAACTTACAAATGGAATTATTAGGCAAACTGGGAAACTCACCGTGATGACGTCGCCATAATTATGGTCAACTAGTAGCTCATCCTTAACGTCCCCTTTGAGAAACGTGTCCTCCAGCAAATCAAACAGATTCATGTCTGACGACATCACTATCTAATATATGAAATTCATACAGTTAGGACACTGTCTTTCTCACCATTTACGCTGTTATTAAACAAAGCACTAACAATGAAATAGTTGTCAAACAATTCAGCATTTAACAATATGTGATCATCACCGATTGACGTCAAGTCGTAAACGCGAGGCAACCCAATCTTGCTTCTTACTTTTACTCTCGCCCCACCCTACAGTACGTTTTTCGTATACACTCTTTGAACCGTTGAGAAATTTCGTTCAACACCTTCCGTATTTTGTCATACCGACATTCTCACATTTTCAACATTTCAGAAACGTTGGCACGCGTAAATTGATGGAATCACACCTTCCCTACGAAAATACGGTGCAGTACCAGACTGCCAACGTGGCATAGTCATTGATAAATATATATATATATATATATACATACGTATACGTACAATTGTACATACATACATATACATATCGTATACAACTGACGTTTACTGCACCTGTCATAAGATGCGATTCACAAAAGTGCCTTTTCATGCTTACTCTCGACGCTCATAGGCTGCGTTCAACAAACTCACACATCTAAAATGCTGATTGGATGATCTAAAAGAATACACCAATAACAGCGAACGCTCACTCAAATGTTGAATCCGCTGATCACAGCTATTTTCAGCATCAATATAAGGCGGTAATCCGATCACTGAACTATATATACACCGAAATGGGCATCTCCGCTGTGAAGCGTAGAAAATCGTAAAACCAATTCATCAGCGCCATTTTAACTTGGTCAATAAAAGAGCGAATCAGAAGCTTTCAAGTGCTCATGCGCACTTATGTTTAGTGTTCTTTATGCTTAGTGTTCGTGTGTGAAGTTAAGGCTTAAATTACAATAGGCACAGGCAATAGGCAACAGGAAATAACAAGTCGTCCAATCAAAACTCTGGGATATAATATCAGATGGAACACAGCCTTTTACAAATTAACCAATCAAAGGACGCTTCAAAGCCTTTGCGGCGTAAAGTGAATCGTACCTAAACGTACCAACAGACTACGCGGACGCCCTGCAGAATAAGAATTGGTAATTAAAAACTTAATCAATCAGAACAAAATGGATTAAAATTATCTGATTGGTCAACATTGGTCAAATTCGAATATTTAATTCTCAATCTCCAATGCGTATACGGGCTTAATAAACATGATGGTTCAGTTTTGGCGCTCACACATTGTAAACTTCATTCTATTTTTATTACTCATTACTTACAGAAAGAAGACAAATGAAGTTCATAATGTGAGCGCTGAAACTGAACGTATGTATTTATTATATTAATTACATACTAAAGTTGTGTTCGCTTTGTCACTCATAACGCTTTAAGCATCGTTTCATCCTTGTTTACTAAATATTAAACAAGAATAAATGATGCTCACAAGTCACTGTAAGCGTCAAAGCGAACAACAGCCTACATCTACAGCATCTACAATACTGGACAAAATCGAGTATAACGCACTTCGAACATTTCCACATTTATATAAATATTTGCCAGTCCTAGCAGATAACATAATGATGAATCAGGCAAAAAGGTTTCTTAGTCTACTTTACAATGATGATATTACAAAAATTCCGTAAACATTCAAAATGCATACTTCATTTCGTCCAGTACGAAATATTTGTAAATATCATTCCTTTTATTGGGAATAAATTTTGTAATAACTCACTAATAATATTAATAAATTCGTATTTATTTAAATATTTATAATTATTACTGAATAATATTCAGATATGAAATGCGATATAAAAGAGCGATACAGCGATAGTACTTTATATATATAGAATATATTAAGTTACATTATAATTAAATCCGTAAGCACGATCGTAGTTGGTAGCACACGAGATTGCTATGCCAGAGATCCCAGGTTCGATCCCATAGGCAGATTCAAGAAATTTTCATGCGCTCGTGGCTATCTTTTCGGTGATCTGACACACAAAGCACCATCAAGAGTACCTATTGCCAAGAAAACCTCTCAAAAATTGCCATTCGGAACCGGCGTTAGATTGTATGTCTCTGTGTACAACAACCTACGTATGCTCCAGAGACATATGTACGAGAGGTAGGCCTTGTCCCAATTTGGGATGTTGCGCCATTGGATTGGATAAATTAAATCCGTTGATATATTTACAATTATAATTTCTGTTTATAGCAGTCATTTTTAAAAAATATTTGTCTTCGAAGAATTTCTTACACAATACTTTTGTTATCACAGTAATAAATTTTACTTACAATATTAAACTTTCTTTCGGACGTGATAAATTTTCTGTTAATCTTAAATCAATTCTTATTGCTTGGCTACGTTATACTATCATTATTATTCTCTAAAATAATTATATTAATTATTAATGAAATATAAATTACAATTATAGTCGTTATATGAATTTAAGATGATTTTTTTTTTAATTAGTATAAGAAATAATAATTTAAAATATATATAATTATGTAATTTAAGTTTATCTTCTCTAGTGTCTTCTTCTCTTACCAATGGAAAATATTTTAATTATTTCCCCTTATCTTTTCATACATTTTGTTATAAGGTAGTTGACGTAACAGCACTAACACCGTGTACTAAAACTGTCGGTGGTAAGTCGACAGTTAATTCTGTCAATGATTGTAGGTACTGTCGATACATGTCATCCTCATCCCAAGTGTTTGAGGCTGGCGGACCAGGCAAATAAATGAATGTTGTTGCAGTTTGAGAAGAATATTGCCGTATCAGTTGATTGACTCTGAGAAATAAAATTAATAAACATTGTTCTCTTTGTAAAAAATTGTAGCTAAAGAATCAGTTATAATGCTTACCCCAGTATATAAGCTCGGGACACGTTACTCAAAGCATTATTAGACTCTGTACTTGATTCATCATATTGATTTTTTGGCTCAAGTAGAGGCCTACCCTTTAAACCTCGGATTTGCTCTGCCCATTCCGGAATTTTTTTAATCGATGCAGAAATTCTCAGCAAATTCAATGACTTTCGAATCCTGTGCTCATTCGAGATTCTCGGATATTCGTTCATTGAATTGGGAGAATCTGAAATACTTAGGCTTTCATTGCCATCCTTAGTTTCGCAATGGAACACTCTGAGATGTAGGTTTTTCCAACTGGGTACCATATTGATGATACATGCGAGTTGAAGCATGAATAATGACGTTGTATCGAATGGATCTTGATCGGTCGGTTGGAAAAAATTGACCGGCCATACGTCAATATATTTCAAATTTGAATTTCTAAAAGCAAATAAATAAATAAATAAATAAATAAATACATACATACATACATATATATATATATATACATATATATAACTGTATAATAATAGATGTTACAAATATTTTCGTGATATATTTCTACTCACTTTGTCAATTGTGCTTTATTTAACAGATGAAAGTTTCTACATATACATAAATTCTTCTTCATTCTTAAAACATCCGAGCACATACCAACATATTGAACCGGATCTAGATTCTTTTCACCTGCTGCTTGTCTTAGAGGGAACACAGTATTATTTGGAAGCGTTGTACTGTTTTCAAACATTGTCGTCGCGTATTGAGAATCCAAGAAAAAGTTTTTCGGCGTTTCTTCATCATAAAACCCAAGAACGATCGTATTTGGTTTCATTGCACCCATGCCAGACAATCTTATTAAATGTTGCATGCCTTCGCGCACTGTTTTTGTCACAGTCAATTCAATGAAAGCTTTAACTCTCATATGATCAACTAAACTCAACCAGTGCGGATATTCCTCGATCGTAGGATCATTATTTTGACCATTAAATTTACCAACTTTTACGTGTCCAATAACATAAAGTCCTCCTTTCTTCAAATCGTTCACAAAATCGATAAGAGGACAAGCGGAACGCGGACACGCAACCATCAGTAACATTTGCGGACGCCAAAATTTAACATGATCTTTACGCGAATCCAACATTAACAAGTATTTTCTAACTTGATGGAATATCAATGCTTGAGATATGCTGCCCCATGGTGCGTTTTTACTCGGTGAGAATAAATGTAGCACAATGATCAATATTAAGCATAAAATTATGCTACTTGAAGCATAAATACTATTAATTATGAACATCATTATCAGTGTTCCAAGAAGACCTATAGTCGCTGTATGCCATGTAAAATAATTAAATGTTGGCCTGAAAGGAAGGTTTAGATTTACTCATAAGGAACATGTAATATTATATATATATCGTAATTAAAATAATTATATGAATGTTTGAATACCTGAAGTTTGGTGCACTGGCAAGTTCCAATCCAAGACACGCAAGATTGGTAGCCAGATAACTTAAAAGAAATAGTACCGAGTTAATTTGAGCAATAGTATTCAACGAGCCGATAAGCAAGATTGTTTGAACCAAAATCCATGAAGTTAATACCGCTGTTATTGGATTGCCGCGCCATGTACCTTGTATGACAAAATTTAATCCCGAACCTAAAAAAGGAATAAAATAGAGATATTTAATTTTATATGTATATATATATATAAAGTAAATTAAATTAAAATAAATTAAATTTTTTATTGTCATTGATTACATACCGAATACATTATCTTTGGCCAATGCTTCCAATACTCTGCTAGAACCTATCAAATTGCTTAAGCCAGCGCTAAATGTTGCAGTGAGAATGCCAACGGCAACAAATGGTGGCCACATATTAATTGGCATCATGTACATAAAGTTGTTTTGCAGTAAAAAACGGCCAGTAGTAGCAGCCGTCAGTACAGATAGTAAAATATAACATATAAATGTAAATAATACTGCAGATAATGTCCCACGTGGAATGTTCCGACCAGGATTTTTCAACTCTCCTATTAATTGTTATATGATTAATACATTATATGAAATGTAAAAATAAAAATAAAAGTTTTATTTACCGCTCATATTTGCTCCAGCCATTATCCCAGTTACACCACTAAACAATACACCAAAGACACTTGCAAAATCCGTCATTGTTCCTCCGCTCGAGTAATCAGCACTATAATTCGAATAGAGATTATTTGAAAGTGTAGAAGACAAAAGACCCGTGTAACTTCCATTTACATGCTCTGTTACATTTTGTACTAATGTATTTGCATCTGGTATTGGTATCTAAAAGTACAATAAATATTTATTGATCAAAAATTCAGCCAAATACAATGTTAAATATATAAACAAAATATTTTCTATATTCAGCTCATAAAATTATTTACCTCTATTGCACCCTGAGTCAAAAAACTAATAAAAACACTAGCCAGACAGATGCAGACAACTGCTAAAATTGCAACACTGGTTTTTGCAAACATTGCAGCTCCAATAAGACAAACTACAAGATTGGCAGTATTTAGTATAGAACAATATAAAAATCGCCACCATCGACCATCTGGGATGAGCCCAGTTTTGCCGCTCAAATAACCAGACGGACCAAAGTTTTCAACCAAACCCTCAGCACATCCAGAAATGCAAAGCGCACTGGACACTATATTGGCCAAGAAAAAGAGAGTGCCAATAGAGCCGCCAAATTCAGGTCCTAATGTACGACTAATCATGACTGCATGTAAATTAATAGGAAAATATTTTTGATTTTTTATCAAACTTAATGCTTTCATTGTTACGATTAAAATAGTACTTTATAATATACAGAAAAATAAATTTCTCTACTATCATAACTTATTAATTATATCAAATATGTAAGCAAAGTAATCTGCTGATAAGCTATCTTGAACTGGCGTAGTTCGTCTATCTCTGTCAGATAAATAAAGAAAGATAAAGCTGTAGAATACAATTTATTTGATGGAAGTAATATGCAGCTAATACTATTGCTCAGAATAGAAAAAAAAGGATACAGTAAGCGCCACCACCTTCTACAGCACCATTGGTCGATATAGCACAGACAGATGCGACTGTGAATAATAAAATACCATATGCTATGATGAATTGAATTAATGTTACAAATAAACCTGCATTACCCACAATATATCCTGTAAAAATTACTAATTAGTATAATTAACAGATACTTATATTCTAAATATGAAACTTTTATAAATAACAGCTTACCCATTCGTATAAAAACTAAGGCACTGAACATAGACAGTGTAACTGGGCTGAATACACCAGCAAAAGTTCCCAATGTACGAGTGTTATCCATACCAAGAGTACCAAACTCGACATAGCCATCTCCATCGGAATGTGACGTCCTTCCGATCTTAAAAATATTGCTTAGTCGTTGAAGCATATTTCTGCCATTGATCAAAGGAGCTTTTTCACTCGTAATCCTGATATGGACAGGTTCTGTGTTTGTCGAGCCAACTTCTGATGCGATCATCTTAAATCGCTGGATAAAAAATATCAGTAATAATTTAAAATTACATAACAGATTGGGATAAATAAAAATTTTACATTTTGCTCTCGTTAGTAACAACGTAACAGCTAACGGTATATGACGAAAAAGAAGAGGAAGAGGCGTTATGTAGATATTTAGAGTAAAATTTACGCTCAATTGAACATAAAACATACTTACGCAACAAATTAGAATAAATTTTCGGAATATCGTTCACCCAATAAGACTTCACTTGTGCGTATAAGAAAATATAAAAGAATATATATCCCACTTAGTCATACGATTGACGTGATGTCACACATTAAACTGAACGTTAACGTCAAACACTGCAACGTCAAACTTGCTCTTCTTAAGGTTAATAACCCTTCGTTATATTTAACATATCATATGCCTTCGTGTTTGAAGTTAGGAATTTCCGGTTACGATATATACATGAGACATTTATATAATTCATTCGATATCAAAACGATTGGAGATGTCAAATATGTATATGATAAATAATTATTAAAATCTAATAAATAATTTTATTGAGAGAACACGACCAGTGAATGTGAAAACAGGTTAGTAAATATAAATTGTGTACGTATTTATAATAGGGAAAAAATTCCCTATTATACATAGCTACATTCAGTTTAGTGATACAAAAAATTTCCGTTAGATAGCGCAACATGATTATTAAAGAAAATTTTAGTATCGTAATAACATTCTTTGCGCTTTTTGCTAAATATTTTTCAAATATAACGAATTCGAATCATTTTGTGTCTATTAAAATTTAATTATTTATCGTATAAAGTTTGATGCATGTGTGTATATCTACATACATATATATGTAATAAAAGGCTAGAGTATAATAAATTAGAATTTTGTCATATTGCAATGAGATAATCGCGCGTTAACAATAATTGCGTTCTTCAATCATTTTACATGTTTCTGACATGATGAAGAAACAGACGAAACTTAAACATCGGTAAGTAAATTTATCTATTAATTTAATAATTTAGTGTGCGTGTGTGTGTATGTGTGTATATGAATTTAGTCAAACTTTCTTTTTTCAATTTTTATTAAACAAAAAAAATAAAAAGCACATACACACATATATATAAATTCTATTTTTTGTAATTACATATTTTGTTATAACGTATATAATTACATTTTTTATTAATTAATTGTCTTTGTTGTATGAATATTTCATATATATATTTTTAATTTCCATTTTTTATATTTTGTTATAATTGAACTACTTATAAATATCTGTAACAAATCATTCATAATTGAAATAATTCCCGTCCTCGCCATATTCTTCTTCATCCTTTCGTTCGTCAAAAACAGCGTCTTCGTCTTCATGTTGCTGTTATACAAAACAAACAAATTTTTTATATTTGTCAAAATAAAAATTAAATATAATTTAACGATATCAATAAAATTCATGAGGTATATTGTTCAGCATACTTTCAGTTTCGATTTTTCCCTATCGATTGAAAGCTCTAACTCGCGTTTTTTCTGCTGTATAGCTCTCTCTCTCTCTCGTTCTTCACAAATCTAAAATACATAATATTGTGTAAATATTAAAATAAAAAAAAATATTCTATAAAAATAATTTTCTTATCTATAACTTACACTCTATTAAATATTCTTAATATACTCCATTTTAAAATATTTGTATCAACTTATGAATAAATTCCATGTACTCTTTTGTATCTTTTTTTTGCGAGCATTTAATGTTGTAACAAAAGAATTTTGTATCTCAAAATTAACTGACTTTAAAATGAAGTAGCCAGTGGCCTAGATACTCCACAGGATCGGCCGGTTTCTTTGTTATAATTTCACAAAGAGCTTGGATCAAAGGTTTGCTCAAGACTCTTTTTAAATAGATGCTATTCGATGGCAATTGTTCGTGCAGACCATTAGACGATAAACTGCCAGATGTAAAATTAATAATAGAATCGTTGCTTTTATTGACTTTAATCTTTGCTTGCGATAGATCTTGCAAATTGTCGATGTCGTCCTCACTTAAATTCAGAGTTTTTAAAAGTTTGAAAAAGGATTAGGAAAAGAAAATAGAAAAATTTGCCATCAATTTCTTTTTAATATACTTATCATATTTTATATTTTATATATTTTATTAATACAACGATAATAGTACGATGATAAACTTTATTTTACGACATTTTGATTATAAACTTCAATTCTGAATATGAAGAATGTCTAAATCTAAAATATCGATTCCAGCTAACCTGACGTGTTCATCCATAAGAATATTAATCAATGTCTCGCTAAGATTTTCATTCGAATCTTTCTCATGCAAAAATATCTCGATTTTTTTATCTATTTCTTTGTCGTTTTTAGTCTCTTTGACGTTCTCAATTACTTGTATGTTATCTTCTATCGATTTTTCTTCCACCTGATCTTCCTGCTCACGTATCATGTCTTCTTGTTGTTCCTACAAAAACATATTGTCGTTAATTTCTTGCATTTTTAATATTTCTACCAACTTTTCTTTTACCTGATCTTCCTGCTTACGTATCATCTCTTCTTGTTGTCCCTCCAAAAATATATTATCGTTAATTTCTTCCATTTTTAATATTTCTATCAACTTCTCGCGTAACACATTCTCAAGTAAAAAAAGTTTATTTTAAAGATTTTGGATCTAAATTCTCGTACTATTTTGTAATGCATCTGTCTAATCGCATGATCATGTTCTAAATCGGCAATATTCCTGTGAATCCGCAATAAGCAACCAATCAAATTTTGGTTTAAATATTGAAAAACAATATGACAATATTATTTTTTGATATCATATAAAAAAATTATAGTTTGTGAAATTATAGAAAAAAAATTACTTTTTTATATATCATTATAGTTTATATTGCACATCTATTTCAGATTTTATAACAGATTTTAAATATTCTCACAAAAACATTTTCCGATTTGTGAGTGCATTTGGATCTAAAGTTTGGTTAGCTGTTTCAATATATGCTACAGCTATTATGCACAGTTATATGTACTTATTTCCTTACATATGTGACTAATTGTAAAATGATTATGGTGAAGAATTAAAATGAGAACCGTACTTAAAAAATAATTTGGACATTTTAATTTCATTCTTACTTCAAGTCATTGAAAGAATGAAGTTTTGCGCAAGCCACGCAGATGCATGTTCGGCTGATTTTCTTACGCTCTCACTTACATGCGACACTAAAATCGAAAAAATCGGGTGGGTTAACGCGGCGAGAGGCCTTCATCGCGTTTAACAAACGGATCTTCCTGCACTTAAATTTGCATAGTTACCGAGCCATTTACCATATGTATATATACGTCGACAGAGTCACGTATTCGCGCATCGAGAGAAGGGTCTCAATTTCTGACCATTGTTATATAAGAATTAGTGCGACGCGTTTTTACGCGGTCTTTATAATTTATGTATGCACTTTTCAAGTTTGTCCATTTTTATGCGTTAACAGCCTCCTTTTTTAATACGATTTAATACAAGTACGACAAACATTCTTCATTTAAATAAGTCACTTTTAGAGTCAACAATTTCATTGTCGCACTTTTTATAAAGCATCGCGCAGATATTTACGATCACGTACCACAATTCATTTCTTCAACGTTATTATTCATGTTCATTCCTTCTATCGCATACTTGAATCGGGGAAAATAGGTCATCCAGAGTGCTTTATTAAAGTATCCGCGAATCACTTTGTAATTCGATTGAGAAAAGTATATACACATGTGATAAAGAAATCGTATTTCTATCAATTACTTCTCGATTAACAAAAGAAAAATTATATGATTTATAAAATATTCTTAACATATCGAATGAAAACTTACTTTATTGATTAATATTAGCTTTGTGTAGGAATTTAAAATACTTTATTGTAATAAAAATTAGTGTAATAATTTATTAAGAATATAATTTTCTTCTCTTTATTTATTAACAATTCCATCCTAGTAGGTCAATCATCAAAGGTGAGATCTGATGAAAGATGAAAAGATAAAAGATCCTTTGCCGTAAACTTTTTGTATCATCGAGATCATCTCATAATTATTTTCAATAGTGAGTTTCATTGCTCTTGAAAGCCAGCTCCATTATGCTTGTACACAATGCTTGAATTATAGAATAATAAAGAGAGGGAGAAAGAAGTCTTATGATTTCAAAAGATTCACAAGATCTATCTCAAGGCGTTGATACGCAACGATGTTTTATTTTGTGAATTTATTTTGTGAATTTATTTTATTTCTTCGAAATTCACTAATATTGCAGTATGTAAAAAAATTTGTTTTGCTCACATTTTTTTCCTCAGATTCTATCAATTATAGAAAATTTAGATGTCTATTAGTTATATCGCTAATATTACGAACGAACCGAATAAAGTTGCACGATAAATACTATCTTATCAGTTTGTGGCGATGTAATCAGTACAGAATTAAATCGAGATATAGTATGGGATAAATCGTTTGCATCTGACAATAGGTTTCTTGCAATTGTGAAATGAATTAAGCATCATGAAGTTAAAATAAAGTAATTGAAATTTGATTTCTTTCAAACGCCTGCGTGCTGTTAATTACAAATTTGCAAAGTATTATTCAGTGATACATTCCCATCCGTGGAAAAACACGTTACTTATAACGCTTCGTGTCATTCACGACGTTGTCATCGATCGAAATACATTCGGTATGCAGATATCGCTTTTATTGAAATCACTGCCTTATTTTGCGATAACTGTGACATGAAGAGAATATCAAGAAAAAAGATTAAACTCTAGCTTCTGTAATTCCACGTTTCTGTATGTGCTATTGATACGACATATGAAAATGCGTATTACATCATAGATAAAATAGCTTCTCGACAACGCATATATAAGTTCGCGTTATCGCAAATTTTTTATTCGACGTTATATCTACTTGACGGAAAGATTTTTTAATTTATATTTTTTGAATAAAATTTTAAAATTATGTTTAGAAAATTTGATATATAATTGGAAATGAAGGGGTATGACTACAATAGCGAGCTACCTAAAAACAGTAATAAATTCAACAATTTTTTTTTTAGTATAAATAATTTAAAATAAAATCAAATTGAAGCACTGGTTAGTGCACGCTATTTTTGTGAACGCTAGAGTAAAGCCTCGGAGCATCTCCAAAAATATGCATACATATACGAGCTTCTATCACCGATAGCGCCGTCATTTTCGATGCAAAAAATACAAAACAAATTTTTTTATGGATTTTATGGACTTTAATATTAACCAGTGCTTTAATTTGATTCTAAATTATTGATTCTAAATTACTGATATTAAATTATTTTTTTACACTAAAAATATTATTGAATTTATTGCTATTTTCAGTCCCGCTACTGTGGCAGCTACTGTGTCTCTTAAATAAAAAACTGAAGTATTTTATCGGACGAAAAATTATTAGATTTAATTTGCAAATGCTTTGAAGTTTCTCAATGTAAAATTGTGTGCATTTTTACTCAGAAGCTGTCTTTTCTTGTGCAACTTTCCAAGCCAGTTCTAACTAACGCCTACCTATGCAGTAAACATGCATCCTGCGCCTAGCAAATGTACGAGCTTGCATTCAGTCAGCATTAGTCAGCATCGGTAACATTGCGATTTATTAAGCGAACGTTTGATAGAAAGCACATTTCAAATTTTAGTTATACTCATTTATTTTTTGTATTGGCCAAACATTTTCCTCAGAAATCTAAAATTCTCCACAAATTTATAAGTAAAATACTTTCACTTACGTAATGCTGATGTCTTTATAATTTATTGGAAAGTATTTTTTTTACTGATTGACAATTTTTTAAAAAACTTATTTATATTATATATTATATTACATTTATTTATTGATAAAAATTACACAAAGATAGCATTGACAAAACGATAGTTGGCATAAAATTAACGTAAAAAAACGTACGTTTAATCTTAATTAGTCTGATAGGGGTAAGAACACTGACGAGATACTATTAAACACCGACATCCTTACGAGAGTTCGCGTCCTTGTGAATATTGAGGTAATTAAGAGATAGTTAAAAACTGAAGATATTGTACTAATTTTATGATTTATTAGTTTAATAGGCTTATTTATGCATTTAGAACTCAATATATAATAATATATAATAATACTCGATTTTTCTTTAAAATTGTGATTTCAGTATTGTCGTCAAAGTTTGATTATCAACAGAGATGATAACTACAGAAAAAAAAAATTGTAATCTTCAATAGTATAAGATATTATAGCTTTGCAAGTATGCATATTTATTTATGGAACATTTATATAATAAAAAACCATAAATTTAATAATGTATAAGCCAAATATTTATGTTAATAATAGCAAATTTATATCAATTGTCGATAACGTCAGCGTTCTTCAATTACCTCCGGGCCCTTGGGGGCCCTTTTTATACCGCCGAAAATTTGTCGAGGGTTGACGATCTTTAATAGTATCTCGTCGGTGGTAAGAATCTGAAGACAGTTGGCGCTTAAAATTTTTCGTTCAAATTTTCCGCGCTGAGCGCTCGACCAATCTGATCTCAGCATTGAACGCGGCGCGAAATTCACGTGTATGCGAAAATGATCGAAGACTCCCGAACGTCGCCGCGATCGTTCGCAGCGCAACTGCGAAACATTGCCTACATTCAGATAGCTGTACAGTACAAGCCGCACTCACTCACCGCAGTTGGCCGGCGTGGTTCGTACTAATAGGAGGGAACTTGTATTATTCGTCCATTCACAGTTTGCGCACGTTGTTGAACTTTGATTTACGTCCTCGTGTGTTTTTCATTCAATCGTGATCAGTTACGTGAAAGTGCTTTCATTGCTTTGTTAAATCGCGTCTTGCAAGAACTCGAACTTGCAGTCGTACGATCAGCGCACACTTACGTAAGTAACGATGACTTAGACAGATCGAATCTTTTATTATAGGTAACGCGCAAGTATATCGAAATGCACATTTCTATCGTTCTGTTTGACGCCGCGCGCTTTTTGACACGATATGAATCGTTGCGTTTTACAGATAGATTGCGCAGCCCTGGAAAATGTTGCGCGCATTTACACAAGTCCAAGTATAGTATAAATTCTAACGAGCTTTTAGAATGGATAAAATACCGATGAGATATTTGGGATTGCCTTATTGGAGATACAAGAATTGAATATATATATATATCCACGTCTGTGGGCTTAATATTAGCATAAATTCACGTTTGCGATAACATGGTAAAGTGGTTCGCGCGACTTGGCGATAGAAGTGCGACAACGTACATACAATAATCGTTGCAAGTCATTATGTCATCGTCATACCTAAAAATTGCCAATGAGATAATACGACAAACTCGATAAATTTTTAGGCGAATTACTCGTTAGTTTTATTTCTTTTGATTCTCCATGAAATAATGCATCGCGAATCCTTGGCCCGTCTTGTTCATAATAAAATTATTAATGACTTGTATACTCTATGTATATCTGCTCACGCGATCGAATCCGTCAAGAGCGATATTTCCGAATACTTTCCCGATCGCGACGACCTGTATCGAGATTGCGAGTTACAATGAGAATTCTATTTTCGGACGGCTTGCGCGTTATTGAAGCTTCTCTCTGGGGGTTTAAGAATCGGTAGTTATACGCTAACTTTGATTAAAAATTGCAACGATGTGATAACAAATTTTACGGCTTTTTAGAGAAGCCTGTGGCAAAACTGATCGATGTAGAGCTGTCTTAATGATGGCTTAGCACGAAATGCATATTCATGTCATATAGCGCCATATGCATCAGTGATGAAGAAATGTTAATAGCTGCTTCTCTATCTGCATTACATTTATTTCGATTTTATCGCAACTTATAGGTAGAAAACTTTAGACAAAAATA